GGAGAGGGTGGGGAGCCCGGGAGCCCGGCGGGCGAGGGGGCGGCGGCGCCCAACTTTCCGCCAGGACCCGCCGGGCGCTGGGCCCCTAACCTGACCCCTTCACCTTGAGCCTGCCTCCAACTCCCAGGGACCGCGGAGGGGAGCCGCCTCCCGTGGGAAAAGGGGGACACTGGAGAGGAACTGATCAGTGGGCTGAGCTGCCCCCCGCCCCGGGCCCCTTCTCTCCGCCGCGCTCCCGGCCGGGCCCCTGGGCGCCGCCTGACCGCGCAGACTTCCCTTTTGTTGCCGGGAGCCCAGGGCCGCTCCGTCCGCCCGTTGCTCCCCTTTTCTGGGCTCTGGTCTTTAACGCCAGTGGAAGAAGGGGGGGAGGGATGAAGGGAAATAATAATTACATAACCTTCCACCTTTCTCTAATTTAACGCAAAGCATCTCTAGTCTTTCCAAACCTACCCAAAGGCACCCGGGAACCTAAGCGCCCACAGAGCTGCTCAGCCCGACCACCGCCGGCCAGTTACACCCACCAGGCGGCCCGTCTGGAAACCTGAGCAGCTCCCCCAGAGAGGGCGTTACTCCGGCGGGAGAGACCTTCAGTGCTTCGCCGCATGCAGAAAATGAACAGAAACAAAAACAAAGCAATTTAAAAATCGAACAAGCATCCAGGCAGATGAACCAGGGACCACTGCTGCCAACCTCTAGCCCTGAGCGGACAATAGAGCTCAGGCTGTATTTTCAGGGATGTTGGAAAAACCTTCTGCTCTTACCTATAACTTTTCTGCTCCACCCCAAATCCATTCACTATTTACTCAGAATGAAAATTCTGCGTAAGCCATTCCTTCTTGATCGGTAATCAAAACAGCTATTTAAGCTCACTCGAAGGTAGATGGTGAGAGGTGGTTTGGGTGATCTCGCTCTTCCTTGCGCCCCTCAGTACCATCACCTTGACCTTCAGTTCATGGAACTTTACATGGTCATTCTGGCTCAGGACCTTTGCACAGGCTGTTCCCGCTGCGTGAAATCCTCTTCCC